CTGCTAGCCGAGTGGTACTCAGTACCAGTAATGCTAACCAATCAGTACTCAGTAGCAATGCTGGTGTCCTACTGCCTAAAAAGTGTTTGCCGTAGAAAAAAGAAACTATACAGATAAGTTTTCTTTGTTTTTTTAATTAAATACTTCCTTCTGCTTTCCAAAATTAAAAGATCTTCCAGGACAAGTGGTTAGAAACTATTTTAAATTTTTGTTTTTAACCATTTAGCTGCAGTCACACACAATCATTGAAGACTTGCTAGTGGGGCCCTCTGGCGTTTTGCAGTCATGTTTATGACATAATGGGAAAAATAGGAAGTGGCCAGGCTACTCATAAACCATCTCTGGACAAGTCATTTTATGCAAATGACATGGTGAAGCAACAGTCTACATTACTTTTTGTTCCTACCACCGTTTTGTTCCTTTTCCCAATTATGTTGTGCACAAATGAAAAAAGAAACGTATAAACTTTATAAACCTATAACTACAATCATATTTTACACAAACTGGTGATACATATATAGTAGATATTTTTTAATTTTTTTTGTCAGAAGATGGACAGAGTGCATGTCCACATGCAACAACCAGAATGACTTCAAATATTTGTACGAGAGACAAATGTGAGGCGACATTAGTAACTTGACAACTAATAATGTGAATGTAAAGTCAGACAGTGATGAAAAGATAAAATATTAGAGTACATACAGCCTGAAATATATTTAGAAGTGTAGATTTGCTTGTTGTTTTAAAAGTTTTATAAGGGTTGTCAGTTTATTTTCCAGTTTTTTGCTGCTGTACCATTTCCATTTTTATTTTATCACCCCTTGCCTTTATTCTTTATTTCATCATGCCATCATTTTTTGTGGCACTAATAAATGTTAACACTGCTTGAATGTTTTTTGCCCACTGAGCATTTACAAATTCTAACAGTGTTGGCCAAATTCCAGCTTGTGTTAGCTGGCATCAATGTCAACTGATAACCCACACAGAATCAAAGCCCGGCTCCTATCGGGGGTAGGGTCAAGGAGTCAGTGGGTTATTTACGTTGCCATGGCTACACCACTGTCAATCAATCCTGATCAGGCAGAGCTGTTGAGTTTTTCTAGCCTTAAACTCCAATCATGTGATGGTTAAGGATTTTTTCTCAAACATAACTTTAGGTAATAATCTTTAAGTCACACATCTTCAGTATCATTTAGATATTTTCAACATGTGTAATTGAGTTAACAGCCTTTTAAGACAGCATAAATCAGTGTCAGTGATGGACATTCATCTCTGCAGCTGTAATTGATGTTTCTGCAGCAGATTTTCAGCCCCTGCACTGACCTGTAGCTGGCCAAATGAATAAAAATGTGGTTGTGATAAATGTGCTGTGGTAATAACACGTGTTCCATTTAGGGAGTTTTTTTATCCCTCCTACACATTTAAATCGTGTTGTCCAAAACCCATCCACTCCATCTCAGGATACTCTTTACATTTAGTTTCTCTTGTGGTTGTGAATCACATTTTAGCAATTTGGATATATATTCTGTACATATTCTTTTTTACATTCTTTTTTATTATTATTGCTATAAATGTAAACTTTTTTTGTTTATTATGTAACTGAATTGAATTTAATTTCATTATTTAAAGGCACTTTCATTCAAAAAAGACACTTCTGTTTACATCCAATTTATTGTCGCTGTCAAAACAAAACTTTGTATATCCTAAATGATGACTTTACATGAGAAGAAAAAAACTTGATTCTTGATTTAAAAATATATAATATTTAATATAAAAAAGATAAAAAGATGAAAAAATAGATTAAAAAATAGAATACAAAGACACAAATACAAAATGACATATAAGGATGTGATATTAGTTTTATTAAATAATACATATGCTTTAATATAATACATTACCACTATTCATTCTCTGCAGCACACCTTCTAGTTTCTGTTTTTAACTGTAACTGTCACTTTTTGAGTTAAAATTGTGCAGGTCTCTACGATGTTTACAGCCAGTACACACATATTTCTATATTTATATATATATAATTACTCAAAGTACTGACTGTTGTTGGTTTTGATTTCTGTGAATTTCGGGATGGAAATATTCTCCTAATCCTTTAGTTTTTCAGAGCTCTTCATGTTCTGAAATCCTCTGTGTGCTTTTGAATTCCCTAATCGTGCCTTTAGCTGCCTTGATTCATTTATTATCACTCACGGGTTCATACGCTCCTTTCTCCTTCTCCTCCTCCATCTTCACTCGCTTTTGATCCTTTCACTCTCTGTCATTCCGTCCTCCGTAACCTCACTCGATATGTTTTACCGCTTTTCTCTTCCTCTCCAACACAGTTCTGGCATAAACGGTGTCAGTCATAGTGTGCCTCTGGCCTGCAGATGATACATGCACACACTCACACACACACATGTACACAAAACAACCACAAACACACACATACACATATACAAAACGACTCCCAGCTGGCTGGTTGGTGTAGGTGGAGCGGGGAAAGCCTGTTTGTCCAGTCATGCAGAGTTGGTGTGGAGGTGGAGAGGGAGAGAGAGAGAGAGATGTGGTGTCCAGAACATGAAAGCGAACGGAGGCGGTGTTGAATAACAACATGGACATCCTCAGGCTCTTCATACTCTCCGCCCGTCTGTCTGTCTGTCTCTCTGTCTATCTCTCTGTCTGTCCAATCTGTTTTGTTAAAGAACTTTCACCATATTTGACCATGCAAAGCATTTTCCTACATATACACTCTTCTGTATAAGGACTGTTCGGTTTCGCTTATACCGTTAACTACTTACACTCCCAGGAGCCGGGGGTGGTCCTAGATTACCATTCCTCACTCTTATAACTACATATGTTACAAAGTAGTTTCATAGTAGTTACTGAATAATAATACTCAAAATTAAAGGGCCGTTAAGCATTGGACAAGCCGTGAACCACCATTTGAGCATTCACCCCATCCAGGCAAAGACCACCATACTGACATCTACAATGAAAGAAAATTCATTAGTGTGAATTCAGGTACTGTAGATCATCAGGGGACACTTTAACTGCTTAAATGCTTTAGTCACACTAGCAGCTCCAGGCTTTGACTCCTTGTTCCTATAACACAAGAACAATTCCAGTTGACATTGTTTATTTAATACTGAATGTATATTGAATATACTGAATAATATGCCTTATATACTGAATAATAAGCCTTAGCATGTAAAAGGCTGGGAATTTTCTGGGACTCCAGGTAAACCCTATTTATAGCCTAATATTGTATCACAATATTACAAATACAGTAAATAGAATCACAAATGTCACTTTCAGTGGAAAATGAAAATAATTTAAATGTGTATTATTCATTATTTATGTATCCTCACAAAGAATAAGAATAAATAAAGAAAATCCCATTGTACATATTAACTGGCAATCTGTCCCATAATACATATAATCATATTCGAAGGTTTGAAAACCCTGGTCAAATTACATGTTTTGCTGATTTTTTAAATTTAAATTTAAAATGTATGTTAAATCCAGCAAATGAACAGTAACTCATCATTAAAGTGTGCAGAAATATGTATTTCACAACAAACCAAAAAAAAAAAATTCATACAACATGTGATTTGAACAGGTTTATATATATACATATATATAACACATATCCCCTAATAAAATGTCCGATAATATAACCCCAATTCCAAAAAAGTTGGGACGCTGTGTAAAATGTAAATAAATGTAAATAAATACAGAATGCAGTGATTAGCAAATTTCATAGACCCATATTTTATTCACAGTAGAATACAGAACACATTTCAGATGTTGAAAGTTACACATTTTACCATTTCATGAAAAACATAGACCCAAACTATCCCACTAGAAACTATCCCACAAAACATATTCCATAATAAACTATCCCATAATATATATCCTAATAAACTACGCCATAATACATATGCTCAATAAACTATTCCATGATACATATCCGCTAGTAAACTTTCCCATAAAATATATCCCCTAATAAACTGTTCAATAATATATATCCCCTAAGAAACTATCCCATAATATGTATTTCATAATAAACTATCCCATAATACATTTCCATAATAAACTGCCCCATAATACATATCCCCTGATAAACTATCCCATAATATATCCCCTAATAAACTATCCCATAGAACTAATAAACTATCCCATAATTCATATGTTCTATTAAACTATCCTGTAAGACATATCCCTAATAAACTATCCTATTATACATATCCTTAATAAACTATCCCATTATATATATCCTTAACCAACTATCCCATAATAGATATCTTTAATAAACTATCCCAATATACGTATCCTCTAATATATTATCTCATGAAATATTTTGCCACATCTCATGTTTCATAATACCTGAAACTACCTTCCTTAACTACAGTTCCTTAATGCGCATCTTTTTTTTCTTTTCGGCCATTAAACTGACCCTCATTAGGTGAAAGCAAGTGGTCTCTTTATTGTGACTTCATCACATTGTCCCTCTCTCTCTCTGTTTCTCTATGAGGGGACCCGTCTGCCACTAAGGCGCAGGAAACCGCTCCCAAACGCGCGCAAGCCAAGAAACCGAGCTGCGCGCACGCTCCTGCTGCCTCGTGCTCCGTTCATCTCCTCCTCGCCGTGTAGTCATTACCGGGCGCCGTGCCTGCTCCAGTACTCAGCTGCCCCCCCAGCCCCTCCCACCCTCTTTCTTTCTCTACCGTGCGTCTCCATGTTAGTCACCAATCCGCGCTCACGGCGCCACTTCCCTCTAGCCTTATCCTAGTCTGAACCATCCCACTGGCCCCGCCCCTTTGCCAAGACCTGCCACTCCGCCACGCCCCTCCACGTTCTGTTACCCCTCCCCTTCCGTTCGCCGCCCTCGCGCAAGCCCGTGACCCGGCCGATGACGTAGGAGATTCCGCGGTGCCCACTGCCGTAGGCGCGCGCCTCGCCGGGGGTATAAATGGGCGCCAGGCACGAGCTACCGGCACACACACGCTCTCCCTCCTCCTCTCACACACTCTCAGCCGTCGATCCGGCTCGGGAACCAGAGCATCAGCGGAGATAGCAGGAGAACAGTCGCCTCCTAACTCGCTCTCGGCTTTGGTTCGGCATGGAAACGTCTTCGGTTACGCGGAGCTCCTTTACGCACAGCTTCAAGAGTAAGTACTTTCATTTGCGCCGTTATTTAATGGGACTTATAGCGTCCTTTCTTTGAAAACCGCATGAAAACTGTTATTTGTTTCATCTAGATGCTCTAATTCAGTCTAAACACTGACTTTGACTTTCGCTGGAGTGCTTTATTGCGCACCAGTAATAATCAAACCAAAGTCTTAGAGTCCAACATAACTGATCGTGAAGATGCTTTATTAATTATTTCGTTTATTCATTACAATAGAAAGAAGTTTTTGTAGAGTTTGTGAAAGTTTCACACTTTGCCTAGTTCTATAAGAGTGTGGAAATTAGTTTGAACATGGGCTGATGAAATTAAATAGTGTGTTCTTACTTCCTCTTGGACTTGGAGTTTAGCCTCATTAGGGTAGATTCAGCCTTTGCCAGGACAAGCATGCTATAGGTTTTTTAAGTGTCCCCTTTTGTCTAAATGTTCATAAGACCTGAAATCCATTGTATTGAGCTGATGCTGAAGATACATTTTATGTATTGGTGATAATGACAATTTTTGTAAAGGTTTTTGCAAAGTTGAAATGAGTGTTTATAGTAGCAGATAACATATTCTTCCTTCTTCTTGCGATTTACTTTCACTTCAACAAAGTGAAAAAGTAATTATCTAAAGTTTAATTGAGTTAATTCTGTGAACTGGTTGGTGCATTTTTGAGACCCTGAATTAAGCACTGCCTGGTCTGCTTTTTAGCCTTGAATTCAGTGAGAAGAGAGATGCTGTAAAAGTTTGAATACATGCTGAGAGCATCTGCAGTGTTTCTCACTTTGAGCTGTTTGTAATGTGGTGCTCTCTGTTTTCTCTGTCAGGTGCTCTTGCACTCTGGCTGGTTGTCTGGCTGCTGGTGGTGAAGCCCGCGCCTGCGCAGGCCTGTCCTCACCTGTGCGTGTGTTACCCGTCTCCCATGACTGTGAGCTGCCAGGCGCAGAACTTCAGCTCCGTGCCCACCGGCGTGCCCTATGACTCCCAGCGTGTCTTTCTGCAGAACAACCGCATTACCGAACTGAGAGTGGGATCTTTTGGCTTTGGGACTCAGGTAAGAGTGTGTGTGTTACAGAAAGAATGAGAGAGAGAAAGAGAGAGAGAATAAATGTGTGAAGATGTTTGATTTGGCTTTTATTTATATAGCAGCATATTTAGTGTCTGGTTCTAATTCTTACCTTTTCAACTCTCTTGTCATCAACTCCTCTTCTTTTCATTCTTCACTACTTCCCATCTGTCTTTCAACCTCCCCCATTTTCTTTCCTCCTGCCTTTCTGTTGTTAATTCCTTTCATTTCATGCTCTCCTCCACCATCTTGCTTCCCTTCACCACCTCTCTTCCTTGTGCATGCCTTCTCTCTCCTATTCTCCAGGTCCTGTGGCTCTTTTCAAACAACATTACCTGGATTGAGGCTGGTGCCTTCAGTGAGCTTCGTGACCTGGAGGAGCTGGACCTGGGCGACAACCCTCACCTGCGCCGCCTGGAGGGCGGAGCTTTCCGCGGCCTGGAGAAGCTGCAGAGCCTCCACATGCACCGCTGCCGCCTGGCTGCCCTCCCCCATGACATCTTCCACAAGCTCTACAGCCTGCAGTTCCTCTACCTGCAGGAGAACCAGCTCCACTTCCTCCAGGACGACCTGTTCGCTGATCTCATCAACCTCAGCCAGCTCTTCCTGCACGGCAACCGCATCCGCACACTGTCCGAGAACGTGTTCCGTGGCCTGGTCAACCTGGACCGCCTGCTGGTCCACGACAACCGCATCCGGCAAGTCAACCGCCGCGCTTTCCGTGACCTGGGCCGCCTCACCATGCTCTTCCTCTTCAACAACTCGCTGGCCGAGCTGCCCGGCCAGGCCATGCGTGATATTGAGTCCATCCAGTTCCTGCGCCTCAACAACAACCCCTGGGCGTGCGGCTGCGAAGCTCGCCCTCTCTGGGAGTTCTTCAGGTCCAACCGGGTCTCCAGCTCCGAGCTGCTGTGCGCCTCTCCCGCTCCCCGACGTGGCCTGGACCTGCGCTTCCTGCGCGAGATGGACTTCGCCCTGTGCCCCCTGCCAGACCCTGGCTCCCTGGCTGGAACCACCACCACCACCTTCAGCACCAAGACCCGCTGGTGGTTCTCCAAGCACAAGCCCGTCAGCTCCACCAAGGGCGTCTTTGAGAAGAACACAGAAACCGTGAAGGCTCACCCCTATTCCGGCAAGCCGTCCATCACCTCCACGTCTACGAAGTATGAGTTGGGTGAAGAAGAGGCGCTGCTTCCCAAGCTGGACCCAGAAGAGTACTGGGCCAACTACGGCAACGAGGATGCAGGCATCACCTCCCTACGCTGCTTCGAGCTGGAATGCCCCCCTGATTTCGACACCCTTCCACCCTTCTCTTCGTCCTCTCACTCCTCTCCTTCTAGTCTCTTGCTAGTTACCATGTCCATTCTGACTGTCTGTGTCGTTCTCCTCTTTGGCTGAATATTCGTGTTTTGTGAGGGACCTTCATCCCTCCTTTCTTCTTTCCCTCTATGGAGGAGAGAAAATCCCGTTTACTCAACCGAACTCTCACATACCTGATTCCTGTTTGACTTCCGCCTCACCTGTATCTCTGTTCTGTTCAGTTTGAGCCTCTAGTACCTCCACGCAGCTAGAGGGCGCTACACTGATTTAGGATACAGTAGGGGAAGCAGGGAATATAGGGCAGGTACTGCAGTGCAGGCCATTATCACAATGGAAGTGAATGATAGCTAATACCAGAGGGCTTGGTTAGTCAACAGGTACACTGTCCTCCTTCCTTGTGGAAATGTTTACTTAGTCATATATAACACAGTCCGTATGGACTGAGGATATATGGTTCCATCCTAGATTTATGTACAACATTTGTATACTTCTGCCTTTTTGGGCTATTATTAGTGCTACTTTGGCTATTGTAACTGCTGCTTGTGTTGGTCTCATGACTAGAACTGTCTTTATAACCACAGCTAATTATACTGTTATTCCAAGTGTGGTTTCAGTGCTGCTACTAGCACTGTTCATAGTAATCCTGTTAAACAGACATGACCTCTAACACAATAATCTCACCACCCATGACAGCTTACAGTTTACATTACAATTTGGACCAGTGGATTGAGTGTCCAGCATCATTCATTATATAGCACATATCAGATAAGATCATGTGGTTCAGGGCAACAGACAGATGGAATGTGAAAGCAGAGAGCAAAACTGTGACAAGTGACAGAGAAACACTGGTCCATGGAAGAATGAATAGAATGAAAAAGTGGAGAGTGAAGGAGGTGAGAGAGAGAGAGATAGGAGCGAGAGAGAGAGAGAGAGAGCGAGAGAGAGAGAGAGAGAGAGAAGTACAAGACACAGAACGAGACAGCACTCCCAAGACAGAGAAATAGAGGAAAATGTGTCTTTTTTGTGTTCTCATTCTGTCACCTACCAGCAATGACATCATCACTCACCTCTTGTAAATACACCATGGCATCATCGAGAGGAGAGCTGTACATAGAGCGAAGAAAAGCCTTCATGTTTAGTATATTCTGTGTTCTGATTGGTCACAAATGTTCCTGTCAGTGATGTCGTTTGTGTTGTCAGAGAATAGCAAGGTCAACCTTATAGCAGGGGAAAGTATGTGAATGAAATTGATGTCTTTTATGTTAGACTTTGTCATGAGCATGTTTCACTTCTATCTAAATTTTAAAACAGATCTACTTTATATAACAAAGAACAATTCTGTTTTTTCTTTCTTTTTTTCAAATATAAACAAATGTATTTACCAACTTGCTCACTGTGAGACTCTCTTTTAAAGCTGTTTTACCTCTTAAAGCTTGAAAACCCAACTCAAACTTATTTCAACATTACCTTGGAGCATCATACCAAGACAACAACAACCACACCAGTTAACTCGGAGACTGAGCCATCCAGTCACTGGATGAGAAATCTAAACTTGGAGTGGTTTGGAAGACAAGGCAATAAGGGAAAGCAAATGAGAACACTTCTAAAAAAAGAAGGCAATAGGGTTTTGACTTGGACTGACTGTGTGAGACCAAATATGTACATTCCAGCAAAGTTGGAATTGGAAAATGGACACCAGTATTGATGGACTGACTGAGCAATCACGTAACTGGACTGACTTTAGTAGGAGGAGAGATGACTAATGAACTGACTAATGAATTGACCTATAACACATGGTATGACAAAGGGCACTGGTATGACTAACTTCTAGCTAACAGTGCTGAATTGTGTTACAGTATGCTGTGTAGATCTTAGATTTGTGGACAGTGTTAGCAATGTCTGTTAAGGCAGCAAGAGATGAGATATTAGATAGGAGTGCAAAAAAGCAATCTTTTGCTCTCTCTGCTTCACTTGTCCATTCTTATCTAGCTAGTTAGCTATCCTATTTTCATTCTGTTTCAATAGGCTCTTGTAGAAGTAAGTGTTCGCCTCCTCCTGTCTTCTTCTCCCCTTCCAGCCTTTTTTCTCTGGAATAGATTTGCATCAGCTTTGCTGATGGCTCTCTGTCCCTCATTCTCTTGCTCTCTGCATGAGAAGGAGTAACGAGAGACTGGAGTACAATAAAGAATGAAAGACAGGAAGAGAAGGGGCTGCTAGTAGTGAAGTAGCACAAAAAAGAAATAGTAAAGGTGGAAAGGGCAAGGACAGAGAGAGAGAAAGAGAGAGAGAGAGGGATAGTGGGAACGAAAGGCAGGGGCGGATGGGTGGATGTGGGTGGCAGAGAGAGAGATCAGAGATAAAAGAGAGAAGTGCTCAAGGGAGAACAGAAAGATGGACTCAGATTGAGAAAAGTCCATTTCCTGCAGCCTCTTATGCTGAAAATGAAAGTGAAGGGCTGAAGGAGAGAGCAAACAAGAAAATGGAGTAGGAGAGAAGAGATTTTTTTTTTAATTTCTGATGGTAAGAGCCTCAAATAGACCTATCAAATGCAGCTGGATTATTGTCATTTCATTGCAGTTTATTTACTTTAATTTGATTATTGTTCATTTAAGCAATATCTGTACTTTGGAAGCAAATTCTATCTTTTGTTACTGAAGGTATGAATGTTGCCATGACAAAGTTTGTCCCGGTGTTGTATGTTTTATGGTGTGTGTGTGTGATGCAAATGGCAGCCAAAAGGGGTAAGGTCAAACTGCAAAAAGGTGCTCTCAAGTGACCATATTTGTGAGGTCACTCACAGATGACCAAAGCTTAGTTATACCTGTTTACCCAATCTGTATGTTGTCGTATGTTGTAAACACCCTTGTGGAGCAAAGAATGTAAATGTGTGAAGAATGAGTTGTCAAATGTGCTGTCATTTCAGCAAAGAGAGAAATAAATGGGTATCAGTGCTTTTCAATAATGTTTAGTGTGGGAGTCTCTTTTCTTATTCTGGACCCTGTCCAGCACCCAAAGGCACTCGAGTAAAATCCACATTTCACACTTCTTTCTCTCTCGCTCTCTCTCTCACTCACTCACACACACACACACTCACACACTGCTACTGATCTAAAAGAACTGTTGACAATCGGTATTCTATGATACCTTCACGGAGACTGGAGAGATGCTCATACTGTCGACGAAAAAACCTTTCTGTCTCTCTCTGTGTCTCTCTCTCACTGACTCTCTGTGTAAGTTATACCAGATGGCATTCACTGAAAGAGCAGCTAAATGACAAGGCCAAGCTTCAATCTCCCACTATGTGCCAAGCTGAGCTGCCTTACACACACACAAAGACGTCAGAAGTCCTCATGGGACGCTCAAGATGTCTTTTTCTACATCCCTCAATCAACACTGCACAAACGTTGACGGTTTGTAGGCATTTCGACAAGCTGTGTGCATATCTGATCTGTGCATAAAGTTCAAGCTGCTTAGCCAAAGAAAATAGCCACCTGTGACATCTGTCAGTTTGACACCTATTTCTGTTACATCAGTGTTAAGACATCTTATGTTGGTTTACAGCCCTCATACTATCAGTTAAACCACTTTATCTACTGATGACATGAGTTGGATGGGCTTATTTCTAGCTTTAGGTTGAAAAACGCAATGACATCAACTAGCCCTAGCCCCATTGGCTACTGTATATAAGTGCGCAAACAGTGCCCCCTCACCAGCCCACTCACCATCTGTGGGCCTATTGGCTTACAGCCATGCCAGTCAACAGTGAGACACAATGGGTTGGCTGCAGAAGGAGGGGCCGGGACCCTGTCATCATCACAACAAGCTGATGATTGATGAATATTAATGGCAATCGCGGGTGAGTCACTGACTGAATGAATGAAGGGAGTGAGGAGGGGAGAAAGCGAGAAAAGAGGGAGGGGAGAGGGGTGATGATGATCTTTTTTTGGGCACGGAAGTTGGAATTCATCAGAGTGAGCTGTTTGGAAGATATGGAACTTCGCCCCCGTGTGAAACATACGTACATGAATTACGTTGTTGCTTCCACACAATAGGATGAGTAGAACTTCTCACATATTCATGTGTCATTGCAGTTATTGAGCTCGCGTAGTGTGTTGTTGACAGTCTTTTCTTTTGCCAAATGAAGAGACTTCAGGAGAACAAGAAATTATTTGTTTGAGTAGCGCACTGTCCACCTTAGCAACCCAGTCTGACCAACAGGCTTCCCAAGCAGGACTTCATACTGAGTATTTGCACTGTAGCTATTGGTTCATCTGTTAGTGCTTATGTCAGGAAAACATACATTCTGTTGTGAGGTACACAAGTGGCTATACTGAAGACAATAGACATTCTATGGTAAACCCATACAAGTGTCTGTTTGGGCCTATACTGAGGACAGTAAATCCATTAAAGTAACTTTTGCCACTAGGGAAAAGAACCCCCTCTGTTGTAAATCAGGAAACACCTGATTGAGGTAAAGATCTGTTAGCCACATGATCAGTCATTGGGGCACTAGTTTAAAGTAGATACAAAAGAATTTGTGTTTATGGTGGTAGTAACTTCAGGCTCCTTCAGATGGCGTTGCACGAGAATGATCGGGCTGTAAATACCTGCTGGCTGTGCGACAAGATTCATAGATTGAGAAGAGGTGGTACAGTGCAGTGAATGTCTCATTCGATGTGTGTAAAAGGGGTCACAAAGCAGATGTTAATAATTGGCCGGCATGTTTCATGGCTTTTAAATAAAAATCGCTTCTCTTCCAGGCAAGAATTGCTTCTAGATGTCAACGCAGGTCCTTCACAATCAATTTCTGAAAGAACACACCACAGGGAACTGCATACTATGAACATAAGGGGCAGAGCGGCATGCAAGACGCCTTTGCTCCCTTCTGCTCACAAAGTTGCCCGGTTACAGTGGGCGAAGAGACACAAAAATTAGACTGTTCATGACTGAAAACATGTTATCTGGTCAGATGAATCTCGTTTCTGCCTATATGTGAATGATGCTAGACATCGTGACTACCTGAAACAATGGGTAAGACACCAGGGAAGACATCCACAAAATCTGGCCGAATTGCACAATTCTTTGATGCAAGAGTGGCTGAACATTGATGTCGCCTACATCCAGAAACTTGTCCAGTCCATGCCAAATTGAATCGCAGCTGTTATTCGTGATCGTAGAGGCATTACATGCTGTTAGGTATGTTTCAGTTACAGGTAACTAATTTTCTGTCCGGTGAGCTTAATGAAAACAAAAGAAAGGAAATGAAATAAAGAAAGAAAAATGAAATAAACAACATATAACTGAAATATATATGTGGAAATGATAACTACAATGTCTGTAATGTCTGCAATATGTATGGTTAGGATAACTACACTGTTACTAATACTGACAATATACATACATAATGATAACTACACTGTAATAATATTTATGTCAGTGCAGTTTATGAGCTAACATAATGTGCATACTGGATAGATATCATGCTGATAATGACACTTTCTGATAACTACAAAATATACAGCTACATCACTACTGAAAACTACAATTTATATGGTACTGACCACACTTTACTCATTTCTATAATATATGGTACTGATAACTATGCTTGTTCTGATAACTACAACATACAGGGAACTTATAACTACACTTTTATTCATAACTGCAATATATATGGTACTTATAACTGCATTTTTACTGCTAATTACAATATATTTGGTTGTGATAACTACACTGCAATTATAAAATATCTGCAAAATATATGGTACTTGTTAACTGCATTTTTACGAGTAACTACAATATATATATGGTGGTGACAATCATAATTACTGCTAACTAAAATATATACACTACTGATAGCCACACTGTTACTAATACTTATAGTATATGTGGTACTGATAACTGTTACTAATGACTACAAAATTAACTGTACTGATAACTACAGTTTAACCGATAATTATAATATATACAGTAGTGATTACTACATTGTTACTAATAACTACAATACATTTGATGCTGAAAACTACGCTGTTGCTAATAATGACAATATATCTGGTGCTGATAACTGCACTCTGTAGAGACATACCTTCAGGTTTTGCACTGGTACACACACACACATGCAAATAGACAGACGTACAAACAATCAAACACACAGCCAGCTCATTGCTTTCTGGCGCAGATTCCTTCCTGCTGTTTTTGGACGTTAGCATAATTTGGTCATATTTTAACATCTCTGTCTACCATGCAGATCAAAATCCTCTTTCTAACACATTCTCTCACTTTCACACCCTCCTTTCCCTTTTGCGCTCTCTCTCTGCTTTACGTCATCGTTGTCGCTCTCAACATCCATCTCTCTTCGCTTCTATTTGCTCCCACACTTTCTCCACCTTTCATCTCTCCCTTTCTATTGATTTGTCTAGCTACGTCTCTCTCTCTCTCTCTCTCTCTCTCTCTCTCTGTCCATTTCACTTTTTTTCTGGATTTTCAGTCTTTTTTGCTGCATTGTAGCATACTGCACTGTAGTGTGACATCTATAATTAAGAAGGACAGTAGAGAGTTTCTGTTGTCTTTCTGTCTTTCTGTCTCTCTTTCTCTTCACCTTTTGTCATCTTAATTACATGTGTCCAAAGCAAAGCTCAGGGACCACGGCACTTTGTCAAGCCATGAGTCAACATCGATCTGTGTTTGAGCACCCCTGCTTTTGATCACTTTCTCATCATCTGATGTCTTGCATTTGCCTGTCTGATGCAGGGATGCAGCTGATGGAAAAGAGAGAGAGTGAAAGAGAAAGAGAGTGAGAGAGGCCAGATTTGAGTGGGTGTATTAAAAAATCCCAAAATGTATCTGCACTGTATTTTTCCCATGTTTTTCATTCTATTGCACACACTGGTCTCATCTCACCCTGTCTTGTGTTTCATCCACCTCTAAATCTGACATTGACCAAAATACGTTGCACTATACTGGGTGAAGCAAGGAGCATAAAAAAGGGCGAGCGTGGAAAGGAGAGCGAGAGTGAATGGAAGGAAGAAACATGAGCAGCTGAAACAGTGCTGGAGAGAGGATTGAAGTGGATGGAGAGAGGGAGAGGAGGAGTGAGAGGAGAAGTGAGAATCTTGAGTCACATTCTTGGAAGGCTTAATTGGTGCAAACATTTGGAGAGCTTATGAAGTGCCAATGCTCGAGTTGCACACACACACACATACACTCATACACACGTATTCGTACGTGATAACACATTCTCTGTGCGTTCGACTCGTCCCGCAGAGAGGCAGACGGTTTTAAATGGGGTGCGTCATCACTCGTCATTGGACCAGTGGAGGGTTCACGTGTCTCTTCCACTCATGCACCTATCTTACATACACACGCACACACGCACACACACACACACACACACACAAACACACATACAGACACACTGGCTGAAGGAGTAGTGCATTTGTATGAGACATAAACCACTGATATAGAGCTCCTACTGAGCTGCTCACCTCAGAATGTGTGATTATTCAATACTTTGTAGCATCAGACTCGGAAGAAAAGACATGCTAACCAATAAGAGTGTTGCTGGATATTGACCCAGTTTGCGCGTGAATGGAGACTGTGGGGAGTAAGGCTGGAGTCAAATTTGTGTGTGCGTGTGTGTGTGTACGTACGTATGTGCCTGTCTACGTCTGCTACTTCAAGCAAAATCTGAATAGGCAGAAAGTACCAAGGAGTGTTTAAGCAGATCCTTAGGGGCTCTGAGCCGTGGCCCTAATCCTAACTCTAACCTTAACCTCAACCCAAAACCTAATACTAACTCTCACCCTGGCCCTAATCCAAATCCAAACCCTAACCTTAACCTCAACCCAAAACCTAACCCTAACCCTCACCCTGGCCCTAATCCTAACTCTAACCCTAACCTCAACCCAAAACCTAATCCTAACCCTCAACCTGGCCCTAATCCTAACCCTAACCTTAACCTCAACC